CTCTGTTTTGCCTTTTGGTTTGTTTTTGTTGTCGTTTGTCTTCCTCCAGGTGAGGAATTGGTAGAAAGGACTAAGGAAATGCCAGAAAGATGTTTGTATCACAAACATATATGCAAGATTCCTGATTCAATCATCAGAAAATTCTTCAAATTTTCTCTATCTTTTTCTCTTTTCTCCTGCTTTTCTCTCCCTCCTTTCTTCTAACTTTCTTCTTCTTTTGTCTACTACAGAAGCCTACTACTCTAGATCCTAATCCTTGACTAAGTACATGTCTAAGGAGCCTGAATATTCATGACCTAGGGGTGGATGCCTGAAATAGAACTTTTTCAAATACAAACTAGATACCTCTCGTCATATTTACAAGGATCTCTAGTATAAAAAAATAAAAAAATAATACATTCTTCGATCTCTATGCCAAGAACAGCAGAACTATGTAAGAAAATATGATCTACATTCTAACAACTATTATTGGGAAATTTTAGTTTGTAAAGAAGAAGTGATTTTTAGTGACACTGGGAACGATACAATTGATGACAAGAGAGAAGCATGAGGTTTGTGTGATTCATATTGATGACAAGAGAGAAGCAGGGATTAAGCTCTTGCTTAATTGTCACAAGAAATGATACAATTGTCATAAGAGATCCAATATTTTCTCTAAGAATAATTATTTCCTTGGGCATGCAAAATAGTTTAGATAGCCAATTTTAGGAAACTTGAAATGTTGGCAAATTTTATGTGGTAGTACTCTGTTCCAGGGACATTCGGTGGTGCCATCCTGGTTTGCAAAAGCTTGGTCTAGTAAGTATAAGGATTCGGTAGCATCAGACCAAGGACAAGTCTGTCTAGGGTTTGAACTGTGGGTTAATCCTGAATCCTGCTCTTTCATGGCAAAAAGAGAAGTCTACTGCAGCATTCATGATTTCAAACTTCCTACAATTAATGGATAGGTCAAGCAGTGATTTTCCTTTGTTAAGGTGTTCGATGGATAACCTGTTAAAAGTTGAACCGTGGTGATTGCCAATCAGCTAGGTGCATTTTATAATTATGTAAACCAGTAAGGTTTTCATATTAAGCTCTAAAAGCTTATGGAACTCTGACTTTCTGTTGTTGATTAGGGAAGCTCGCGTGTAAAGAGAAAAGCAGCTGACTTTATGCTGATTTCAGAAACTCCAAAGTTGTTCACATCTAACTTCAAGGTTCCCAAATTGAAGAACTCATCCGAAACTCCGAAGTTGCTTGCTCCCATCTTTAATATTTGCAATTGAGGACAGCCTCTCACAATTTGAGATGACACCCACAGTTAATGTTATGAGCATGTTGTGATCATCATGCATTTTCTTGTATCCTTCTGCATTACTTGTAAATTATGTAATTGTTGTAAGCATGGAGCAGATATATATTTTTTTCTGTAATTGAGGCAACCCGAAAAGTTTCTCATACATCTCCCAATGACCTTGTTGATTAGGCCATCTCCCAATGACCTTGTTGAGCAACAGATCCTAATTGGCCAGATCTTGACTGAACCAACTCAAACTTCACAGTCCTCAGCCAGCATAGCTCATTAGTTGAAGCTGAGGAATGTTACCTTGTGCATGGGCAATCTTTAAGGCTGTACTGTTAACTGATATTCCTAGTTCTGGCTCTCTTATACTTCGTCTGTTTCCTCCACTTCTTTTTCGTTTATTACTCCAGGGTAGAAATTTTCTGATTGTGTTATATTCATGTTCTGTTTTAGTAGTATTGGATGTATAATGTTGGAAGCAACTTGTTAAGAAAAGTTTGAATGTACAGTTCATCCGAATCCATGATCAAACCTTCTGTTAGAGGTGTATATTGATCAGTTTTCACTTGGTGTAAAATTTTTAGAAAACAAAAAACTGAACTTATTATCAAAATTGACCAAATCAAATTGAACTTGGAATTGAAAGTAAATTGAAAAATGAAAAAGAATGTTGTTAGTCCTAATTTTTTTTTATAGGAATTATTATATATTTTAAAATTTTGATATAATAAATAATTTTATCAAATATATTAGATATAATATTTTGAAAAAAAATTCCACCAGTTCAGTTTAAAATTAAACTGATAAACCCAAAATCCAAATGAGACTCTCATGTAGGGTTCTGGTCTCTACAGACTGTGTGAGAGTTATAAGTCTATTATGAGGAAAGAGAATTCTCTTAAAAACACCATTTTTAATTTTTGATGAAGCTAGTAGATACAGAGAGCTAACTATAAGAAAGAAGAAACAAGCGTCCAACGTCTCTGAAGATAAAATTATTGACAAAACTGAAATAAATAAGAAATATGCATACAACATCTCTTAAACCCTTAAACCAAATAACCTGTATATGTGTGTATGTATGTATATATATATATATATAGATGTGTAAGTATCAGAGGTGATAAGACCTCCAAAGATTTGGCGACCACATGGCGTGAAAATAAGACTGATAAGAAACCATCAAAAGGAGCAGCACCAACAGCAGAAGCATCCCCCACGGCAAATCCCTGGCTGATCTGTAAGCCAAATCCCGCTTTGTTCTTGCGTAAGGAAACACCACTCTCTCGTACTTACTGATAAACCGAGCAACGAAGATCAACAAGACAGGCAAGAAGAAGAGAAGCACCTTCAAGGTGAAAACTGTTTGGTGGACCTGAGTGTTGTAATTTGCATATGAAGAAAGAAATAGAAGAAGAGAGATGATGGCAAGAATAGCTACTAAAGGGAAAGGAGGAAGAGATACGGAGAGCAAGAACTGGTCTACCCAACTTTGCTTCCCTCTTCTGAACAAATCCATTTTTGGATTGATCGACTGGTGGGGGACGAAGAAGCTTATATTGCTGCTAAGATCAAGTTCTATGGCGGTTGCTTTTGGAGGGATTGGCATATGTCCTGGGTATAATCCTCCGACCGACTTACATTTTGAATTTGGACACCCATCAAAGATTGATTCGTTTCTCCTCTTTTCTTTTTTTAATTTCAAGTTTGTACTGGTGGAAATTGGGAATATGTTCCTACTGAACCAGATGGCATAAAGTTTCCTCATCATACATGCCCAAAAGTTTCTTTTTCTAGTTATTTTTTATCTCTAAATTGAAATTTTAAATAAGCATTATGATTACCTAAATTATTATTATTATAATTTATTAATTCTATAATCTTTACACAGCATATAAAATAAATACATATACTTTACTAATATGAAAGAGATAATATACCCATACATTAATTTCTAATTAAATTTCCAAATCGATATAATAATTAAGTTATAATTTTGACTCTGTACATTAAATATCTGTGGCGTCGCTCGATAAAAGATGCCAAATTAATGTTATGGTAGGGTTGCCAAAGAGCTCAGGGCTAATGCAAATACACTGCGAATCCAAATATACACAGATCTGGGTATGCAAACTTTGAATGCAGGAGACAAATATCAACGGGTGGTAAAAGAAGATGATAATATGTATGACCGTCTGGCGATTTGGAATAACCAGTTTGCATCCTGGCATGCTTACCAACCACGTCGAGATAAGAATCAAGAACGTGTTTTTCTGGCTGGTAAAGGAAAATGGTTTTCTTTCTCGGCTGGGATAACTCTACTTGGATCCCTAAAGGTTTCTGGCAAACCGAGTGATTTTTATGATCTTATTTTTATTTTTGTTGTAATATTAAGGTTTTAGTTACATGCTTCTAAGTATGTTACCAATTATTATATTTATAATTATGGCATCATAATCTCCTCTCCACTGCTTCATCTTCCTCGACGTTCTTTTCGTAACTACTCAACCATGTCAGGGGTTTCTTGCCTTGGCCACCCGTGATGGCCGATGGTAGCTACTCCAGAAAAGCATTGACATCCCTACCATGCACATGCAACTCCTCAGAAACGACCGCGTTATAGTTTACGACCGCACTGATTACACAACTTGTACCCATTTGTTTATCTTAATGTCCACAGCGTTCTGTTTGTATTTGCTAATAATCGAGCCATTTTGTTTGATTATGTGACTAATGAGGTGGTCAAGACGTACCCGACTATGCCGAGTGGTGAACTGAGGTACTACCCGAGCACCGGCTCCTCAGTTCTGCTTCCACTCAAAAACTTCCAAGCTCCGGCAATCGAAGCAGAAGTTCTTGTCTGTGGTGGTGCACCTACTGCCTCTTACAGCAAAGCCAAGAGAAAGGTGTTTGCAAGAAAACCTGTTACAAAAAGTAGTAAGCAACAGCAAGCATTAATTGATTATAAACAATAAATAATCTAGAAGGCTTCTAAATCAAAAAGTGATTTATAATTATTAATACTTTGTAGATTTATAATCACTTCCCTACCTCATTCCTATAATTTCATTGAACAGCAATAGAACTGAAGTTGCTAGGTTTTCAGAAATTACCTAAGGGGCCCGGATTGGGAATCCCTTGACAGCTTTGTCTTGATGGTTCTCTTCCTTTCTCCTCCTTTAACTCATGTTTTTTCTTTAACCCATTTCTATTCTCTGTTTTGCTCTTTCTTTTTCTCATTTTTTTTTGTTTTTTTCCGAAGTAACTCCAGAAGGCCCCCTTTTGCTCTGGCCTCTCCCTTGCTCGAATGAGTCTCCTTTTTTTGTTTTTTGTTAGTCGTTTGCCACGTCTCATGTTGTCCTTGAACTCTTCCTCAACGAATTCCTGGCACAATCACTGCAAGGATTGTCGCCTATGCTTTCTACCAGACTCGAGCATGCGCCCCATCCTCTTTGTTGTCTCGTCGGGTTTCAGCTCTCGAAGAGTCAGTTTTGGGGCAAATCTTACCTTTTCGGCTAGACTCAAAGGAGATGGCCTGTGCTCGACTCTACGCAACCTCTTTCTTCTTCCCTCATCCAGGCAACAGAGACTTGTTCCTCTTTTTCGTGATCTTCGCTGCACACAGGAACAAACGCGCCGTTCTGTCTTTACCTTCTTCGCACTTGTTGGACAAGCAAAAACCCTCCTCTCCTCTGTTCATCTTTCCCACTCCTTTTGCTCTTTCAATAAAAACCAGCACCCTCCCGTCGCGAAGCAAGATGGCTGCGGAGTGGTACAGGCGGGGAATGGTTGACGGGTTCTGCGTCTCGAATCGTAATCCCATTACTTTATCGTTAATGCTTGCTGTTGCTTACTTTTTGTAACAGGTTTTCTAGAGATCGACAAACACATTTCTCTTGGCTTTGCTGTAAGCGCCAGTGGGTGCACCACCACAGACAAGAACTTCTGCTTCGAGTGCCGGAGCATGGAGGTTTTTGAGTGGAAGCAGAACTGAGGAGCCGTGCTCGGGTAGTACCTCAGTTCCCCACCCGGCATAGTTGGGTACGTCTTGACCACCTCATCAGTCACATAATTAAACAAAATGGCTCGATTACTAGCAAAGATAAACAGAACGCTGCGGACATTAAGATAAACAAATGGGTGCAAGTTGTGTCATCAGTGCGGTCGTAAACTATAACGCGGTCGTTTTTTAGGAGTTGCATGTCCATAGCTGAGATGCCAATGCTTTTCTGAAGTAGCTGGCATCGACTCCCACCGGAGACCAAGGCAAGAAACGGGTTACATGGTTGAATAGTTAGGGAAAAACGTTGAGGAAGATGAAGCCGCAGAGAAGAGATACTGATGTCATAACTGGCAGAAACAGCTTCAAACCAATGGGTTTGTGGAGAAGAAGATTGAAATTAAAGAGATGTAGGGATCTCGAACGCTTTAAAGAGCTGAGAATTAAAGTGGGTTAATTGAACAGCAAAATTACAGAATCGCTTCTTGATTCTACTGTCTCTCCATTACTGGGTGAGTCGGTGATGGCGATTTGGTTAGGTTGGTGACTTTCTCTTTGTTTCTAGTTTTGGAATTTACCTTATTAATTGAAGTCCTTGCCTCGCCACTTCTCTTTCACATGACCGATCATGACATACAACTGCAATATATATATACACATATATATACACACACATATATATATATGCACGTACATATATGGTATGATTAGTAAGTTATCGTATTTAACATTAAACTCTAATTATAAAATTAACCCGTTTGGTAATTTGGCCATTTACGTCATTAATCTTCAGAAATTAAGTATTCATTCAATCTAAAAGTTGGAACCTTTGCTACATGAATTACTATGTTACAACATCTCCTATCATTATATTGATATAATATAAAGTTAATGAATGATAAAAAAAAAATCACTATTTTAATCTTTATATTCACTAATATGTATATAAAATGAATTATGATATACTTGGATTGCTTTTAAAAAATTATATTAAAAAGTATATAAGTACCAAATATTTATATCATTATTTGCTATATTTATTTATAAATTAAAGTTAAAAATATAATAAAAATATATATTCATCAAATAATTTACACTTATAAATACTTTATTAAATACTCAATTTAAAGTAGGTTAGAAAATTTTACCATTACACATTATACATTAATCTTTGTTTTTAATTTAATTAAATCTCAATTAAATTACCCAAAATAGAGAAGGAGTGAGTCGTAAAAGATGGCGCCACCATTGTCACCCTCACCTTGTCCCGAGTTATGTTGCCAGCGGTCACTGTAAATCGTATTTCAGATTTTGATTGCATCCGAGGTTGAATTGCAACGCGGGTGACACAATCTTCGGGCGCAAGTTAGAGACCTGCCCATCCAAATACGGCGGACTAAAAATGCCTCCAAACTTAAATTGGTTGGAAAAAGAACTCCGGTGAAGTTATAGCAAAAGTGAGGGTTGCTGCCGCAGACCAGCACCCTCCCCTCGCGAAGCAAGATGGTGGCTGTGGAGTGCTACATGTGGGAAATGGTTGACGGCTTCTGCGTCTCGAATAGATTGATAACTGGAGTCAAAAAGGGGGTCCCGCCCGAGTCTCCACTTCTTCCTCTGTCGACAGAATAGAGAGGAAGATAGTAGGATTAAAAAATAAAATTGGAAAGAGAGTGGAAAACAGAGGGAGGCTTACGGACTTGAGGAAGAAAAAAAAAAATTGAAAGGAAAGTGGAAAATCGGGGAAGCAGAGCTGAGCAGAAAAAGGGAGACAAGTGGAGGTTGAGAGAACAAGTACTGGTAAACATTTTGAGCCTTTGATATTTTATTATGTGTTCAATTTTTTTTGTTAAACTTTGAGAAATAAAATTTGAGGAAGATGGTAGTTGTGTATCCGTCAATTTTTCTTATGATCCGTGTAGTTTGTTCTGAATGGTTGAATTCCAAGAATGGATTTTCCTTCCTGTCCGAAGATTTCCAAATGACTGGTTTAATAGCACACCAAGTGCTTGATAAAAGTCCCAAGAGTGTCAAGCGGGAATTTCTCACTCAAAATCCCTTCATGCAAGATCAAGTTTTTCTGTCTTTACAACACAAATAAAAAATATCTATGAACATAGATAATTAAAATATCTATGTTCACTACTGCAAAAAAATTTAATATTTAAATAAAAAATTATACACAAATTTTATATATATATTGCAAGAATATATCTTGGTACATTTTAGAATAAATATAATATATGACTATTAGTGTGATTCTCTACTGGTTATGAAGTAAATTTTGCTATTTTATGTATTATGCCTTTTTAACTCTTACAGAGATATAACATGATTTATGGCATAAAATTCCCTGTTAAATCTGATTTTACCAAATACAATACATTCCCAGAAAAGCTAAACGACATCGTTTCACTTGGTTGGTTTCATCAGTGCGAGTCAGAGAATGGAAGGAAAACGAAGCATCGTTTTATAAACCCCAAAAATCAAAATAAAACTAAGAGGCCTCATCTCACTCTCCCACCCAACCAGGGTTTTTAACTCGTCTTCCCCTTCTCTTCCTTTCAACAAAATTAGAGGCTTCTCCTCTTTTCCCTTGTTTGAAAGATGCCATCTGAGGATTCAAAGCCGGTGAAGAAGGAAGATGCCGGGCACGATGAAGCTGACAATAAGTGCTTGAGCTCCATTATCAAGAAGAAATCCGCCAACAATGCCGCTCCTTCTATCGGCAAATCTCGTCCCAAACAACCTCTCAAGATAAAGAAAGAAGAGCCTCAATCTGATGATTATTTTAACAAGCCTATTAAACCCGTTTCCTCTTCCTCTCGCTCCAAGGAGCGCAGCGTTGTCGATGAAGATGATGTCAAGCCTATCACTAAGAGGAATTCCGATAAGGTTTGCCTTTCTCCCTCTATTTTCTTTTTACTTTTCAGATTTTAATCTCCCATAAAACGGATGATAGTGGACATTTGTACCGTACGGGAGATATAAATTATAAATTTGTACCCGATAAGAAACTAAAATTTTTAATGATCCAGAGAGGAGATGTTGATTTATGGGTTTCCTTTTTGTAGAAAGAGCTGAAAAAGAAGAAGGGTGAAGAGAAGAAAGCAGCGGTTTCCAAGGCTGAGCAGAATGGCAATAAAAAGGAAAGGAAAGTATATGATTTGCCTGGTCAAAAAAGAGACCCCCCGGAGGAGGTACTATCATCTCCTGCATTAAACTCCCTTAACATCTCCTGCATTGGATGATTTTTTTCTTGTTGTGTTAAGGGTTTGTTGCCTTTTGGAATTTCAGAGAGATCCACTGAGGATTTTTTACGAGACACTGTATCAGCAAGTTCCTCACAGTGAAATGGCACAATTCTGGTGAGACATTTGCTCCAATCGTGTCAATTGTTTTATCATGTTACACTTTTGTGCTCAGGTCTCGTTTATGTTTAAATTGTTCAGCTCTAATTTGTTCATTGGAAGTTTCATATTTTGTTCTTATTGTGAATGACAAGAGCTCAAGTGTCCATTGTCCAATGCTTGCTAGTTTACTTCTATGATGAGCCAAAAATGGGTTAGCTTGCACGTAATCTTTTTCCCTTGCATCTCCATGTTTTGATATTCATGTTGGTTACTACTGTCGGCGCACTTTACCTTTCTTGAATAAGGACTAGTAGTCCGTTTATCTTTTTATATGTTATTCTTAACTTAACTGTTTCTGGTACGTTGGCAGATTTCGTGTTGTCTGAATGTAAAATCTATTTATAGTTGAAAAAGGAATGTTCTTCAGAAACAAAGTTGGATTGATAACCAAGCACTAAATTAATAACTGGTCATCTTTAAGGGTAGTTAGTGGCAAACCTTATCCTGAAAACAGGTTGGATTGATTACCAATTTTTGAGTTAATCACAAGTCATCTCTCCCTTGATTGCCTTTGTATGGACATCAAAGTCTTTGCAGTCAAGGTCCTTGGCAGCAAATAAGGCCTGCCTCACTAATAAGATTTTGTTTGGCATCTATATCCCCACGAACCACCAAATGTAACTCTCAATTGGCATGAATGTATTTTATATGATCCCTCAATCCATTATTGCACAGCGCAAGCGTTTTCCTAAACATGAAGTTTAAAGTTGTTGTTACAAACGTGGCCCTATTTTCTTGAGGTCAGAATTGGATTAGAATGCTAACTTCAGCAGAATTTAATGTTTTGAAGGCTGATCGTTTACGCTTTTCATCAATATGTTTGAGATAAATCCACCTCCAAGTTTTTGGTTGAGCTGAATCATCTATTTGTTGAGTATATATAGTTTGACTATCTGACTGTGCCATCTGTTAATGCACGTGTATGTTTTGATGGTCA